CTGTACCACTGTTATCACTAACTCACAAACTGCCTTTATTGGTTTAATAATTTCAAATAAGTATAAATATTAGAATGAAAATATATTAGAATGAAGCCTGATGAGAATCGCTTAACTATGAAGAGCCGTCGGGAAATGTCAATCACATGAACATTGAACAAAATAACTCATCACTCACTAGGCTAGCTGCTGTGCTACCAAATTTTATTATTCCTTAACAGCTTTCGATTGTTCTGCTTGATTCAAACGCTCTCTGCAATAGGATAGCCAGTCTTACATCTCTAGCCTACTTGGTCAATCCATGTTGCATTCTAATTACTGTAACCTGGTGCACACCATGCAGACATGGTCACTCCATGTAAAATCTATTGAATCTTATACTAGGCATATTACTTTCTAGCCGGCCCAGATGTGTTCTTCAGGAATATTAGACGTTACATAGCTTATTCTTACGATATGACGGTGATGTGAATTCTGCGTATGATATTATAGATTAGGTTTTCAAATCATGACAAATCTATAATTTTAGGAATGGGTCTACTATTATGCTTGTAATAATACCAAAGCATATCATAACTCTACAACTTCTCAAAAAGTTGTATTGCATAAATACTTAGCAGGACCGGAAATGTAATCCAACAATGTTGAATTCGGACGTGGTTTGCAACGTGGATGCAGTACCATTTTTGAAAAAGATAATAAAAACTGCATGTATATTGCATTACTTAGACATAAACCTAATCATTAACTCTCTGGGATATTTGCACGAATGTGTTTCCTCTTTTTTATTGGTTTCATTTATTTAAAAAACCCAGTTGGAAAGAATCTTGTCAGCAAACCAATGTTGTAAATTATGGATCATGCACGTACAAATGGCATGTACGTGTCCTGGAAGAAATGTGCTCTATTATGACCAACCTGCTGACCGCGATGGACATGTAGGTAACCATCATTGATCGCAAGGGGAAGGTTGATGTCACACATTTTGACTTCTCAAAGTTCTTGATATGGTCAATCATCCATCAACAGGCTCGAACGATTAGGTATCAAGTCATCAATAATTGATTAGCTTGCTTCACATGTAGGTAATTGATACTTTAAGGTCAGGGTAAACTTTACTTCCTTTGGAGTTACGAAATGTCCTGTTGGGGTCCCTCACAATTCAGTACTCGAGCCTTCTCTTTTCTCAACTTGTATAGATGACCTTCCTCAGCAAATACCGGCTGATTTATTGTGTTTTCGCTGACGATGTAAAACTCTGGAAAGAGGTTTGCAACCAAGGTGATGAACTAGTACTTCAGGAAGATATGGCTCGACCTGAAATTTAGGTGGATGACAACGGATAAACCTTCGACATTTCAAAATATAAAGTAGCCCATCTGAGACACATTGCAGGCTATCCATACAACTTATGTAATTCGCCTTTAGAGGTTTCCCAAGTTGAATACGAGATAGGAGTGTTGAAAAGAGGTATTACTTAGAGCCTAGTTGGATAGGGTCTGTAGAATTATGGTCTACTATGATATTAGTACTGCTCTAATAATAGACTTAATCCTAAAATTGCAGATTTGTCGTGATGTAACTTTAATCTATAAGATCTTAAGTGGAAGTCACATCATTGTCTACACCGGCTCATCGTATCGTAACAATTGCCAATATATGATGGAGAGCACATTCAGTCTGGACAGAGAACAACATATTTAATATGAGTTAGAGCAAGTTGTACAGAGCGACCACGCCTGCGAGGCAGAGCGATGCCATTCGATCGATTCGTTGTTCCCGCCTTCTCTATCGTTGGGCATTTATCCGCATCAAATGTTGAATATCTGTTTCCCTAGTTGTTTCGTGTTCAGCTTTGAGGAGTGTGTGATTAGGGCCTAATGCTCCTACAGGTCTGTAGGTAGATATAGTGATTGTAAGATCCAAACTACGTTTGGACTGCTGGACAGCTGTCTGGATGAGTTAGATACGCGCCCTCGCCCGATTGAAACCAAAACAAAGTAATTGGGTAAGATAGCGGTTCTATAATTTATCATAAATTTAAGTGTACATTATTACCTAAACAAATATAGCCACTCAGCTATCCAACCAATAATTGTTCAATTGATCAAATCTAAATTACAATAAATAAGAAAGTTGATAAAGGATGCAAGAAAATTACCAATCACAACAAATAAAGGCTATTCTATCCCGTCTGGATAGACCACGTACAGATCCGTTCAAAAGGTAATAATTGGTCGCTCTATAACACAGTGTTTTCAATTCTGGAAGAGTGCTTCCCTTCACAACCAAAATGCACAATTCCAGTCAACACAGGTCAAGCAATCAAAGGAGGAACAAACCAAAATGGCTGCCGCCAAGACTAAGTGTAAAGTAAAACAACATAAGTGCAGTTCGGGTAGAAACATGGGGAATTAGTGAAGGTGTAGTAAAAACAAAAACCATAGTAAAATACAAATATTAACAATTCAAATGTAATCAAAAACTAACAATGTACAACTAAAGGGATCAATAGGAACTAAGCGCAAGTATGTACATGGAGGGATTTTCACAAACACACAAAACATTCAAAATGGATCTTACAGTGATTGTGGTGCTTGTATAAACTGGAGATTCTTCCGTATTTGATGACGGTCTGGTTTCGAATTCCAAATACAATATGTTCGTTTGTGCTCACCTAGTTCTTCTTGGTCCAAATGACTCTATTTAGGGGATTCCTAGTTCATACAATAGCTCAAATGCTTCTATAGGGCCAATGAAATGTCACTGAGTCTCAGTCACATCGTCCGTCAGTTTGGTCACTGAATGTCAAAAGGCTCATCAATCCCCGTCAAGTTCAAGGAAAGCCAGAGCGCATTAATTAATCGTGCTCCATGAACTGGCCTATGCGGTGGTGGTCACACTTTCGCCTGTACCTACTCTAACTCATATGTATCTGTAATACCGTCCTTTGTGTTATGTGGTCTTCAAAACAGCCGTCGTTCCTTGCTATATCTAAAGAGTAATCCACATTAGGTGCTGACCGTGAGGTGTGACTTGAAAGTTAGTTGCTGGTCACACTATCCCCGTTTAACTCGAGTGAGCACTCAATCACATCGAGAAAGATGGGTTCGTTCATTACATATTGTGACTACATCTGTAGAGATAACGTCTGATGACATCCACACTTTTCTCCAAGTCGATCATGTAGTTATTTTATGGAATACTTTTTACAATAGTGGATCTCATTCTTCAACAGCTACTCACCTTTCATAAACGTCAACACAAATTAGTTTTGACAATAGCTTCATAGTTGGGTGATATCAGCTGAAGAAACAATAAATGTCACCAAGGATTGAACAAACTTTCTATTGCTCCCAGTTCGGACTCACGACTTCACACTAGACTGAACTCAGGATCTTTGTCGGAAACTCCTAATATATATGCTACCGACTTAATTAATGACAGGATTCGACAATTTTAGAACTACATGTAGAATATCAGGGTTGAAAAAGTATAATTGACTTTAATTGAAAAATGCTTTATTTAAAAGCATCACATTATACATAGAGGACGCTATGAGTAATGTTTCTTGTCAAGAATTCAAAATTTTGTTAGTGTGATGATGGTGTCTTGAAATGTAAGACCTTCTAGAATAGTATTGACGTTTTGTTTTCGCAAGTATCGATTTCTCCCAACCATAACATAAACCGAATAGAACAAGATAATCTTTAAATCTATAGATTTGATGTGATGAAATCCGGTCAACATATTTACTCATTTATTCACGTATAGCTCTACTTCATTAAATAGTTAATTTTAATTGTAAATTTTTCTTCATCAACATTTGAGACATATTGCAGACTACACATACAACTTAGGCAATTATCCTCTAGAAGTACTATAGGTTGAAAAAGATGTAGGAGTTTCGGTACCCTGTGATCTAAAGTCTTGTGCCAACCGCGACAGAAATGCCTTCAGAGCAAACCCTGAAGCGCATTTTTGGCCGGTTCGATGGTAGGACTCTCAATTTAATCTTTAACAGTTTTGTTCAAGCCCATTTAGGGCAAAAAAATGTGGTGTTTCTTCTCCCACCCTAAAATGATAAGAATATACTAGAACGTATCCAACAGTGAGCTACGAAATCTGTTCGGAGACTAAAATTTTAACCATATGAAGAACGTTTCAGATTACTGAAACTTTAACCATTGGGGTATAAGCGTCATTAAGGTGGCCTTCTAGTGACTTATTGCGTTCTAAGCACTCCTGGATGCTCTACTAAACACTTAATTATGCCCATTTCCGATACAAAACACAGGGTTATTACCTAGAAATTAGAGACACAGCATAATAGAAAGAACTAAAGGCTCACTCCTTACGAGTAGTCAAACTTTGGAATTAATTTCCCTGATGTGGTTCAGGCAACTACTCAGGAGCCCTCGAAGGGCAATCTTGGTGAATTCTGAGGGGTTCAAGATCGTATTTCGACATGACTTACAAAGACTTTCATTTTCATAGTCAAATGTATCTCAATGATTCAAATGGTTGTGGACGGAACGGAAGAAGCTTTCGCTTAATAGGCTTCCGTGTCTAGTATCAGTGGATCGCCAGTACCTCCAGGCAGGAACCTATGTGTCCTTATCCTTTTGGAGTGAGGTTTGCTCAAAAGGCGTCCTTGTCACAGTAAGCGTAAAACTTTAAATCGTAGGGCACCAGGACTCCTAAATCTTTTTCGATCTGGGATACTACCAGAGAGGAGTTTCCTAATTTGTAACTATAGTCTGCGACATGTCGCAGATGGACTACTTTACACTTTGATGTGTTGAAGGTAAGTCCGTTATCGTCTGCCCAACTTTGAAGTCGAGTCAGATCTTCCTGAAATGCCATACCTGGAGGGATCAGTGATTTAGCGATACCGGGTAAGGAATAATGTTAAGCAAAAGCTTCTTCTTTTGCGTCAACAAGCAATTGAACTTTGATAATTGTGCTATGACTTTTGAGATGCTTAAGAGTTTGCTATTGAATAAGCGGTATATCTGGACCTTGCGTAACGCTAAGGTTCCAAATGGTTGACTTGGTTTTGAGATTGAGTGAAAGGGTACATTATATACATCCCAATCAATAATGTTCTGGGAGGAGCTTCTAGAAAGGAATTAAAGTTTCCTACTCAATCCTTGGTTTAACGTATTCGCATTTATATTTGTGGCCCACCCCTTTATTAATTCATAGATGAACAACGTTATGGGGCCAGGCTTTCGTAGTGCTTAGGTAAACTTCATTTAGTTAGTACATAATCGGTTTTTGGCGTTCAGTATTACACATGTTTTCCAGAGATCGACCATTTATCAAGACAATTTACTGGGGTGTATTGACGTCGCAATTGCGACGTATGTGGAATATTATCTGCACAATCCGATCATTATGTGCCAGTGAATTGATGATAATCAGCGTAAAGAGTATGTCGATAGTAGAAAAACACTATATTCAGAGTCACAATGGCACTTAAACCAAAGCAACCTTTCCTGCTCCGAATAGTGTCAGGTGTCATAATATAGGCTTCAGACTTTCAAAAACTTAAATATAATTAGGGAATCTGTAAACAGTTCCCATCGCGACGAGACTATTCGGAAGACGTTCAGTTGCCTTGCATGCACTTAATGAAAAGATCAAATGTGGCCACATTCGATCTTGCTTATCGTCGTTTAATGTTTCAGTCTCAGATGGGAAAGGACAGGAGACTTGATGGCATATGCTAGTCCTGGCAATGATGGTCTCTCAGTTGATCCAACTTTCTTTTGAAGGAGTCAACGGATGAAGCCTCAACCACATGACGAGGTAATGAATTCCACTCGTAGATGATTCGATAGGAAAGTCGATAGTCAGCTGACAAGTAATTTGTTTTGGGCTTGTGAACTTTTTTGGAGTGTCGCCGTAAATTCTCTGTTTTGGAAGACAAGAAAAATGAGGGCATATCAGGTGCAAATTTATCACCAAGTAATTTGAAAACTGTGACCAAGTCACCCCTAGTTCTTCGATATGACAACGGGAATAGGTTTAGCTTGGCCAGTCGAGCATCATACAGGAGCTTCGCTATTCCGGGAGTCAGCTTAGTTGCTGTTCTGCGAACCTTTTCCAAAAACTCATTTTCTTTTTAAAGCAGGGGCTAACTGCTTGTATGCAGTACTCAAGTTTAGGACGCACGAACACTGTATACGAAGTCAAAAAAGTTTTAGCGTCGATATGATTACATGCCCTACGTATTGACTATAAAGTTCTAAAAACTTTGGCGGCTATTGCACGGCAGTGTGCAGTAGTCTTTAAGTCTTGGATAACGATGACTCCTAAGTCATTATGTGTCTGGACAGTAGGTAGCTCAGTGTTATTCATCGTGTATGTATCTGTACCCTGATGACCGATATGCGTCACAACACAATTGGAAGTATTTATCGGCAACTGCCAGGTTCGTGACTATTCAGATAATTCCTTCAGGTCATTTTGGAGTTCTAAGCTATCACCCTTACTTCGTATCGCTCAGCATAGAGCAAGACCGGTGATGACAGTAGACGAGGAAGGTCATTTACATACAAGAGAGATAACACTGGTCCCCCAAATGTACCCTGAGGCACTCCACTAAGCACAGTTTCTCAGTTAGACAACCTGGAGTTCACCCGTACTCTTTGTTGGAGCCCAACTAGGAAGTTTTTTATCCACATCAATGGACTGCTTCCAATTCCGACATTTCTTAGCTTATATAACAGCCGGTTGTGCGGAACATTGTCAAAAGCTTTGCTGAAATCAATGTAGGCTACGTCTACAGGTAACTTTTAGTCCTTGATAGCGCACCAGCTTTGACGAGCCACTAATAAGTTAGTGAGACGGGAATAACCTATTCTAAAACCATGTTGCTTTTCCGAAAGGATCCGGTTCTCATCGAAATACTTAAACAATTCCTTCCGAATAATCCTTTCTAAAATTTTAACAACCACACTAGTTAGGCTAGCGGGTTGGTAGTTCTCAGGTATATGTTTAGTACCTGTTTTGAAGACAGGACTTACTATGGCGTTCTTCCAGTCTTTTGGTAAATGACCCTGGGTTACGTATAGATTAAAGCATATATTTAAAGGGTTCACAACGAAGCTAGCTAGTTTCTTTAGTAACGTAGGATGCAGGTCATCGGGTCTCATTGATTTCCATATGTCAAGCTTATTTAACAGACCAAAGACATAGAGTTCTTTAATGGTCACATTGTCCAGTGTGTGTGGGGGGATTTGTATGAGCTGACGGGAAGGGCGTTTCTATGGTGTATGCATTGCTAAGGTAGTTCGAGGATACTTTAGCTTTATCAAAGTCGTCCTCCACTAATGATGAAGCAGTACTGTGTTCCCATAGTGCTGGGATATTTCCTCTTCTTTTTGTTCTTTGGTTTAGGGCATTCTATGGATTCCTTGACGATTTTTTCTTCGCACAACCTTCAAGACTTACGGATGGTCGAGACAGTTATTCCGAACTTTTCGATGCTGAGATTTTGTCTCATCAGTCCCCAGTAACCTAAATCTATTCCACATTTTTCTTCTCACGGAGAAGGATGAGAACCTCCCTACTGAACCATGGTGGAGAGTTCCTCGACCCCCTTGGTGTAGTCCAAGGGATGTGGGGTGCAGTAACTTTTAAGTATAAATTTCGAAATACATCCCAAGCCGTTTCAATTGGGGACTCTGGCTCTATTGTCCAATCTATTGACGATGCAGGGTGTATAACATCCACATGTTAGGTCTGGATTAAGCTGATGCGTGCTTGTTTTGGACAATTATATGGAAGTCAAAGGTTAGAACTGAATGATCACTTTTACCTCGGGGTGGCATGTAATCGAGGTTCGTAACGTCATCCTCATAATGGGTCGATATAAGATCTAGTAAGGATGATTCCGAGTCCGGGTCGCACCTAGTCACTTCTGTCATATGCTGCACTAGGGAACATATGGTAACCGCACCAATTAGTTCGTGCTCGAAGGAATCATCTGACAATTCAGTTCGCAGATTTTTACAGTCTACCATGGGTGCATTAAAGTCTCCTAGGATTAGATATCGACTACTTTGGGACCAAGTGTTGAGACTGTTTAGCGGTAGATCAAACCAATCAGCACCTCTTGTCCTTTGCACTTCAAGCGGCAGCTAATTGATTCACATGTCCCTTTCTCATGGGATACACTGTTGATAATGGTGAATGGGATAGCATTCCTAATGAAGAGAGCTGCTCCCCGTTCTTTACGCTTCTGGATTCTGTCGGCTCTTACTAACGTAAAACCCTCAAATTCAAGTTCCACACTATCTATAGGCTGCGTCAGCCAAGTTTTTGTGACTACAATTATATCTGGCTTGGTAACTTTTTGAGGTATGGCTTCAGTTGTCTCTTTCCCCTTGAAATTGTGATTCGGTTTTGGGAGGACAGTCCACTAGGATCTTTTCGACCGGTATTTGTGGTTACAGATACCGGCTGACCGATCAGTCGGGCTCATTGTGCGAACATAGGGTCAAACTCTGAACATCTAATCAACACTAAACCACTAACGGTTCCAAACTCTTCATTTATAGTACGAAGTTGTCCGGGTGTGCAATAAACAGTGAAAGTGATTGTCTTTGAAGTATCACCGTCTTCAACGACTGCGCAATTTCTTTAATGTTGACTTGTTTTTCAGTTTGCATCAATGCTGACATCGTATTTTTTCAAGGCTACCAGTTACAACAAACTGATACAAAAACCATTTAAAGTTTTGTCAAGTATTTTGGACCTGACATGTCTAATTTGTTCGCTTTATGCGCTGAATTGATATCAGCGACTCCTGAAGGCTTTCCATAAAATTCATATCGTTTTGTTAACAAAAATACTCGACTTGTTATCTTCGTTGTCCCGAAGGATTACCAGCTTTTTGATTTCGCTTGCATGACGCATTCATTCAGATTACTTATCTCTGTTTTGTTTATATTTACATATGGGCAACACGTACGTTTATTTTCGTCCTCATATTCCTAATGTTACTGTAAAGCAAAACTTTCCCCCGTCCTTCGTGTGACAAACTAATGCTTTCAAGGACGTCAAAGGGTTGAATATCGTTTCTTTCAGCACCGGACAATCTTCACCTTGAGTAGTGTGTAGCCATGAAGTTGACAGTATATTTATTTATTTAATTTATTTAAACACATAAAAATTGGTACAAGGAGACACCAAACAGATATGCGCCATTTAAATCATTCGATTTATATGAGGGCAGGGATACTACCGGGTGCTCAAACCGAAGCAGGTGGTTTTCTTTGGGGGCCACACCCCGAGCCTTTGAATAAAAGTCTAATCTACAAGGCAGTGGTGCAACGTCTCATTGTAGCCGTTAACCAATAGTTGATTCATCCGCCATTTGTTTCCTTAGGATCTTGGAGCCCGTGTACACCATTGGTTTGGAATGAGGGTTTTCCAACTCCTCTACGTGGATCCTCTATATCCATCAACCCGGTTAAAGCGTCGGACATTCGCTTTTCCTCCCCTCAGTTTCGTAAACAACACCCCCGCCACAAGGCGGTGAGTAGGAGATCCCTGGCAATGATTGTATGCACATGGCTGTGTGAAAGCATTTGGAGAGGGAGACCTGACCGTCCCCACTCTCGGCCGTACCAGGACATTTGGGGGCACTATGTAGCAATACCACACTTTTGGTCGTTTATCAGTATTAACAAAATATTAGGTTTCCAAAAACTGTTACGGACTCATATCATCATCATAAATACGCCTTTAAATGTAATCAGTTTAAATTATTCTCAGCCACATCAAATAAGAAATACTATACTCATTTCTAGGAAGGCGAGAATCGATGATATTTACTGAAAATACCTTTACTCTAGTAACATTTGCCATTAAAATAGTTTCTTAAACAATCCATAATGGAAAATAACGGCATGTTTTACAACTTATATCTAATTTTCGGTGAAGTTGTGCCATTTGCCAACCAGCGATCCAAGCTATATATGTTAGAGAATGCAATAAAAGGTAGGTCACGCTGAATCCAAGTATCTATTAGGCAGGTAGTTGTATACGGTTTTGGGAGATACTGGTTCACATCTGGCAGTGGTGTATCGTACTCATATTTTAGACGACCTGAGTGTTCACACAAAATGACAAAATATTCAAAAACATAAATTTCTCCCTTATTATACAGTCTGGCACCTCGAGTAGGACACGAGATTACGAAAGTACATTGACACTACACGTTTTGATACTTCATTTCACCAAAAATTTCTTGGCAGCTGCTTGAAGTTACAGCATATGTCGTATCGGACTCTTGAAATCGTGAGTGATTTGCACTTGATTTCATTTCGTGAATCCGTAGTGTCTAGTGAAACTGCAACTACATACAGTTCCCGGACTCGATACAGGATTAGTTCGCTTAGTCCTACAACAGGAGCTGGACAAATAATTTACTTCAATATGTATCAATAGATTTTACACTTTGCTCTGACTATGTCTGAATCATGTGATGATAATTGGCTGTTGAGTTTTCATTTTATAATTTTATTGACATACTACTGATCCCACAGGTAGTTATCAAACAGACGTATGAGTTATGTAATAATCATTTGGGGAATTCTTACTTTCGGCTTGTTAGTTAAATGGCTAAGGTTTTACTTCTTTATCCCTGTTTTATTGTATCGGGCAGAAGCTTTTACTTATGGTCATTTTGAAGTCCCTGTTATAAACTAGTGATTTTAAATCATTGTAAACATAGGATCTTTCAACTTTTTGTACTCTTTTGAAGTCTTCGCCCAACTTGTCTCTTTTAAAGCATCATGATCAGTCTGATTGCGTAATGAGAGAAGTAAAACCATATGAAACCAGTTACATAAAGTATTTGGAAACATGACTGATTATTTTATCTATGTTCACTACTCGATTGACATAAACGTCCTTCTGGTGACGACCAAGAACAAGTAATTGAAACCAATATGTCTGAAATAGTTACCCCTATTAGTCTATCAGTACATGACTCCGAAGATATCTCGACCGTAACTTTCTTTTTGGTACAAATTTTCTCCTTATGCGTCAAAGTTACTCATTAGTATAGTTGCGCTTGTACGTCGCGCTTTTCATAGTAAAATGGAAAGTTAAGTATTTCGACTTTATTCAAAATGTAGTTAGTAAATACGTGAATGATAACTACAATGTAGCATAGTTATTTTGAGTCCCTGGAAGCCTGTTAATTTCCTAGAATGAAGTATTTCTAAACTGTGATTTTTGAGATAGCAAATACCTGTGATTAGCAACTTAATTGTTGGAGTTCTAATAGTTATGTTTTTTGCCACGTATAATGAATGCAGCATCATTTAGACGTTCACTGGCCATCTCATATTTTTGGTACTTCAGTTCTTTTTTGTCATAACTGCTTTTTTCTACTAGTGGCTGACATTGTTTGTAATCATACCACCTCAAGTTTTTAAAAGTATTTGGGTTTATTTTAGTTTCTGTTTGTCAAATTAATCCTTGTTATCCTGTTAAATATTACTCGTATAAACTATTGTCGTTTTTACAGATCATTGCACTCGATTACTTTGGTTGAACCAACTACATCAAATTACGGTCATTTTTGTGATTTTCCACTTTTATAGAGGTGTACATGATATAAATCAGACATGGAAGAAGAAGATACGTACTTACCAGAAGTAAATTAAATTTGAAGTTATTTTCTCTTAGAACCATCCATTACAACAATACTTTCGAGAAATCGGAGTTCCGGATGTTGCTACTTGTGAAATCTCCAAAAGGCCTACTATCACCACCACTACTACCTTTCTGATGAAAAAGTTTGCGCATATCTTATCGTACTTCAAATGCATAAATCCTTTTGATTTTACATTATATTTCGGTCTCGATTTACCAGTAAATTATTGTTATTAGCTTATATTTGTCAGCTTACAAGATATCTTTTACTTCAGATAATTAGCCTAATAAAGTACAGTGATCTAATTACTGTTGAGAATAAACCAGTGGTTGAATACATATACTCGGTGGGAAATAACGACCAAGTCGACTCAAGGTAGCAAGTGAAATTGAAATATTCTGATTAAAAAGTTCTAGATGTTGTCTTGCGATGTTTTCACTTCTTTGTGGATTCGGATTGAGTTACTCTACTCAAATGATTTTTATATTCTTACTCGTTATTTTATGTTTACGGATGTCCAACGTACTATTTTTAATGGTATCTAAATATCATCTTGCAGACTCATTGAAGCAAATGAAAAAATTCTCTCACAGATCCCATCTTATCGTTCTTTTCTTACAAGATCTCAATACCCGCCGTTATTTCGGTCCCAAGTATGCATTTTTAACTTACTGACAACCTAATACAGAATTGTAGATAAAAATACATTTAAAATTTTCCCACTAATATACCATCAGGCGTACAACTTTATGCGCGCTTACCTTATAGAATTGATTGATTTTTCTGTTAAATTGGGAAGTAGGTCAGAATATGTTATTGTTATTGTTGTACTAAATGATTTTGTTTTCATAGACTTAATTGATGAAAATAATTCTGAGATACCATTAGAGATGTCAACTTCAGAACTGATTCAATTAAAATGTGACATAGAAGAAAAGCCTAAAGACCCAAGCATCGAAAATCTACGAGTTTGTTTTTCTCTTCTGTTATTTTTATCCTGTTTTTGCTTTCAGATGTTTTGTGAACTGTTAAAACTGTTAACATCTGATCTCTTAGTCAAATTGTCATTCTCGTTTTGCCAATCAAGACGAGATACTTTTCACCTATGTATGTTCATCATTTGTATGTATTTATTGGTAGTTTGTGTAAAACGTTGATCAATCACAAATTACTATCGAAATAAATTCATATTCTTACATTTTGCTGGGTGATTAAAATTTAAGGTTTCGTTTCAATATGCGCATCAAAAATATCGGTCAGCGTGCATCATGAAATTTGTAAGGTATTAAGTAATTGAATCCAGTCATCTCGAATAGAAATTAATGTTTACCGCTTGTTAATCTTCTAATGCGCTAAAATCTTAGGAATTATTCCAATGTTAGCTATAAAAATAAAAAAAATAATAGGTTCCACAATATGAGAAATTCCTGTGCTATTTGACTTATTGAGAGATGAAGCATTATTCATCAGTAGACTATATTGTGTGTTTAATATGACGTCTTCAAATACGTTCACACTAATTTTGAACATGACAAATTTATTACATGGTATATAGTAGACTTTTCTAAGTTTTGTTGAAATGTTAGGGAGATGGAGTAAGTGCTGGTAAAACAATGTTAAATTATTCGTCCAAATGCCAATTCATCCATTCTTCCATGTAAAGATAGATAGTATATCAGAGCTCGGTATACAAACCTGTAATTGATTAATATGTCTTTTAACAAATTAACTGTTCAGTGTATCGTTGAAGTAGGAAGTGGTGGTTAATCCATTTTACTTTCAACCAGTAGGTTAAAGATACGAATGACTACTTATTTAATTCCGTTTGAGGAGCCGGGTAATATTGTTATAGCGTTTACATAAACTGTATGACTTAAAGTTGAGTACACAAATCTATGCTTGGTATATGAGTTACACTACAATATAGGACTCAATAATATTGATTCTGTTTCTTTTCGTTTTTTAGTACGATTGATTATGTCGGTATGGAAATGGGACTACTTTTTGACTAGAATAAAGAATGAATTCAATAAATTGAATGAATTGCATTCAATGATTTTAAATGGCAAGCTCATACATAATGATGCTCGAACTGCAAAAGAATGTGTATCTGGAGAAAATGAAGTCAAAAATCTCTATAAACAAACAGAGGCTCGAATAACTCACGAATTATTGCTGCATCTTCTTGTTTCATTGGAACAGTGAGTTGTGCATTCTACGTGTTTTGTATGATAATGTTTGTTTCAGTTATTCCTCCATATTGTATACTTTTCGTTTTGACTAGTCGTGTATTATTTCCCTCTTCTGTTACTCATTTCAATATCATGTTTAGATTTACGCTACCTATGACTGACTGACTGACCTTTGATTTCATGAATAGTCTTTTCTTTTATCTGAGTATGTTATTGCAATGAAGCAACGATTTAGTGATTAAGACACTCGACTGTCAACCGATGAACTACATGTTTGAATCCAGCTTACTCTGCTTCGATTTCGACAACCCGTTTTGTATCACTGTCCCTCATAAAAAACAAGGAACGTCCTATAACCAAATGCAAAAACGTATATTTGGTTGATAAATTACATCATAATACTCCATTCAGTTTTTATTTATACGTGAGTGGTGATTTTTCCCCATTTTCGGTCTCCATTTTTCTTTAAACTATTCGGCAAGGCATTGCTGTTGAATGTTTCAAGTTCATTAACAGGACACTACAAACCTGTGTTTCATACTTATTGAGGCTAATAAAAAACTATGTACCAATTCTTCAACTGGAATATCACTACATTTTTGGTTCGCTTAATCAATTGCTTATTATCACTGCTTTTATTATTCTAAAGAGGAAAAGGAAGTAATCAAGCCCGTTTTTCATACAAGATAAGTTTTAAATGAACACCGCTTGTTTTGTTGTCCATTTGCACCTAGAATATGTATTTCAAGAGTACAGTGCTTATATTTACCGTTTGTTGTCATTATTCGAGTTATTATTACATTTTTTATATCCAGGACGTAGCAACTAAAAAGTGAAGAAAGAATGTGAACTAGTTGGTATACATTTTATGTCTTATGTCTCAACTTCAAACGTCTGCTGTCCACAATGTCACATTTATAGAAGTTCACGTCGAAACTTTTGATTAGTGATCATACTTGCGTTATTCATAAGTTTTAGGCATAGATAACTAGGTATTTAGACATACAGATTGCTTTTAGCAGCATGAAGTAGCTTTTGTTAGGGGTTTGAAATTTTGTGCATGTGGTAGTTGAAGTTAGACGGAAATTTTAATTATAGGTTGATTCAAACCGTCAGCCTTTTGATAACCAGGCTGATGCTTGATAGAATGTGCTATAAGATTAGTTTGTTGGATGCGAACTACTCTATGGACTTGTCGGATATGGAACGCTAATATCCGACAGCAATTCGCAGCTTTCAGTAACTTAATTTATACTGGTATAGAACAAATGTGTCTTAGCGTTTACGCTAATTATTGACTTCGATCTAAATAAATATGACAAAGCAAATAGGTAAGTCGGATTTTTATCATTCATATTAAAGTAATCAATAGTAATCGGCGTGACATGTTTCTTACTTGTTAGTATATTCACCCGTAACGTATTTCAAGGGTTTTGAATATAAACTTAATGCTTTTTGAACTCGAACCAGAATCATTTACTTTATAGTTGACATCACCTTCAGTCAGTCAGTCAGCTACAACGTAGGACCAGGCACATATGTGCATCGGTCCAGGTTGCCATACCGCATCAGCACAACAAGATGAACACCGGATTCATAGCAGTGGTTAGGTCAAAGGTAGTAATATGTAAGAGAAAGATTGCATATAGAGATATAGTACAAGAAGAAAGAATTGGTTCGTAGAAAGAAAGATATGAAGCGATTTTAATCTCTTAGTTTAAGGGAAGACAGGGAATGTATACACCGACGCCATTGTGATCGATTCTGAGCCATGTCACCAAGAGTCTCCAACCATTGGTTACGATAGTCACGCGGACCCCAACCAAGTAGTCTGCATCTACCAACATGGCTCAGACTAGAAGTTAGTGACTTCAAGCACTGATGCCACGTTTTGGTTTGGCCGCCCCTAACTTTCTTCCAACCATCTCCAATACCGGATAGCATTGCACGTCGTGGTAATCGGTATTCAGGCATACGTAACACGTGGCCCAACCATCTCAGTCGATGAAGATTCATAACCTCATCAACTGATTTACCATCATTCCCTAATACCCTGCGTCTAACCTCACTATTACTTACCCGGTGATCCCAGCAGACGCCAGCAATATTTCTAAGGCATCTGTGGTCAAATACTAGTAGCTTACGAGTGTCTTCTACTCTTGATGGCCATGTTTCGCTGCCGTAAATTAAAACAGAACGGACTGCCGCGCAGTATACTCGTCCTTTTATCGATAGACGGATATCTCGCCTTCGCCATAGGTGGCGCAAGTTGGCAAAAGCCAATCGAGCTTTTCGAATCCGTGCTGAGATTTCGTCCGATACCAACCCATTAGGGCTGATCAGACTTCCAAGATAAGTGAAATTGTCAACGCGTTCGACTACTTCACTCCCTATCCTTAGTTCAGGTGTTAACGCAGACCAGTCCTGAAGCAACAACTTGCATTTAGAGGGAGAGAAGCGCATTCCAAACATCCTGGCATTGTTGCTCAGTGCTACCAGAAGACTCTGCATTTTGTCAGCGTCTTCACCAAACAAGACTATGTCATCTGCGTATTCTAAGTCGATAAGTGGACCTCCTGGTAGGAGATCAATACCCGAGAACTCAGTCGACGAGAAAGTTATTTCCATCAGTAGATCTATGATGAAGTTAAACAAAAATGGGGAAAGTGGACAGCCTTGACGGACACCACTTGAGGTTGCAAAAGTAGATGACAGTTCGCCATAAGCTCTGACTCGACTAGTAGTGTTCGAGTAAAGAGCCTTCACAAGGTTTATGTACTTCTGGGGTACGCCTTTCAATGACAGACACTGCCACAGAATCTCGCGGTCTACCGAGTCAAATGCTGCTTTTAAGTCGAGAAAGACCACCATTGTCGGACGCCGATAAGTATGCCTGTGTTCTAGAATCTGACGAATGGTGAATATGTGGTCGGTGCAGCCACGGCCAGGTCTAAAGCCAGCTGGTAAGAAATTCAGCATTAATATCTTTTACTCATAAAAAAACAGATAATAAAAATTAATTTAGATTCAGACTGTGAATGCAACATTATATATCCAAGATTTATAGTGATGTAGTGAAGATACTTAGTTTTGTTTTGTTTCTATCTGCGTGTACTGCAACTTCTTGTAAAATTGTCTTCTGATATATTGAATATTTTAAGGAAAATAACAAGCTACGAATATCTAACTTATTTATTTATTTCCATAGTGCCAACAATTTGAAGTCCTATGTTGAACAAAATTGTAATACGTCATTTGTTTCGAATGAAACCTTTTCCAATTTAATTAGTCTCATACGTTGTCAATTGAATGCATCCCTGATTTTTTTGAATGAATTGGATAATGCTCAAACTGCAGACAATGTTGATATTTCAAAAGAAAATATAGAAACTACTGTTGACTTCCTATATTGCCGAGATGGGATTTCATCTAGTAAAGATGTTCTGAAAGCTGTGGATCCAATTGTAGAGGATGATGTATGTAATAAAATGTTTTTGAGCACTTGCACAAATGTACTTAATCATAAGTTCTTAGTTTGAATTATAACGTGAAACAGTTGTATTAATTAGCTAACTATGAGAATGATCTAGTTATATGGTCTCAGTATAAAAACTTCATCATGTATACTTCCTGTTATCTAATTGATTGACATTAGCTATTGTGTTTTGCTCATGGCTTCATAAATCATAGATTGGAGAACAAATTAATTTAAAAAAGTTTGTCCGACATAAAATTACTGCTTTACCTGTCTGGCTGGTGCTGAAGTGGAAATATATTTAAAATGAAAATCTTCATTAATTCTTAACTTTGTGATTTTCACGGATCAAAAGTCACTAAAATTTTATGTCTAAGCAATGCTCAGTGTAGGTATTCGGCTTGATAAAAATGTAACTTGGAATTTGTAACCACGTCAAATAACAGTAGTATGCTTATGGAAAAGAACATTTGTTCAAAACTACATTCACATCATTTTCTAAGGGACAGTAAAAATCCAACTTTTCACCAGCTATTTGAAAATCACTCTTATTTACTTAAGTGTATATATAGTAGTCAAATACTTTTCCGTTACTAACTTGCAATAGGTTGGTGTATTCTTTCACTACGGTTAAGAAGTGTTTACTCTGATCAGGTACTTGATGTTCCCTGGTGAAATTTTCGGCTTGTGGTTCTGTTTTCTTCATGATATGTTGAAAATTAAAAGATTGTTCGAGCATTGTCATCACTGACTAGAAAAACACAGGGTTTTGATTGAATTTTGACTTGCGATTTCCACATTACAGAGAAATTTAATTACAAGGAATATGAATACACAAGTTAAAATATAATGTATGGCCATTAAAACTAATATGTGATTGGCCAGCAAATAGAGATGAGCAGACACCCAGCTGCGGTGAATCTATGGGACACTACTAAACATTTTGGATTCCTTTCTATTTTGGGTTTCACCATGTGTAGACAGCTTTCATTTGTACTAAGGCAACTACTGTCTAGCTCTCAATCATTGGTCACGAATCATGTATATATATTTGACATGATCTAGTATTATGCTCCAATAATCTTATGCCTAGAATATTATTTTATCGTTTCGTGGCAAACGACAAGACTATTTGATTTTCTCTTTATGTTAAAATGTTAAGAGGAAACTGGAATTAAAATTTTGATGATTGGTTAGTAAGTAGTTTTAAAACATTAAAACGCCTACATAATTTTGAGATACAGTTTAACTGCCAGTTAACGTCGGATACCAAAATAATACATTACTTAACCAACATTTACTTAAAGTCCTCTGAAAATCAGTTGAGGATTAAGTAGCACTCAGTAGTTGCCTTAATCAAGTTTGAGACTTTACAACGCTATACATCTACCGCCTTCGGGTTGAAATTAGCCAACTCTTATCATGGCAAGCTCTATACAATACTATCACCAAGTCGAAAATTCAAATATTTGAACCTGAGTCAGTTTGACACTATGGCATAATGACCAAGTAGTATTGTCAGCATGCCTTAACTTGGGCCTTGACTGTCTGTTAAACGGCCAATGAGAGATAAATTACTAATCGATTAGATGAATAGTTGAAATTTAGTAAATTCGAAGATTACTATAGGCCATGATATCCTTGATCTAATTTTGTTAAGGGTCTTGAGTTCCTATTATTAACTAGAACTCAAATTCTTTTTACTGCTTTTTGGCTTTATATGGTTGTCAATTGATCATCGGTTTGTAATAGTATTTACTTTAAAATTTACCGAATTCTCGCCAGTCATTTTTTGTGAAACTACTGGTTCAGTAAAATAATCCATTGTTTCTGCTTCTCATTGATTTTCTCCCAGCAATTTTCTCATGAGTTTATGTTCCGTATTGTGAGGTATTTTCTAATAGATTTTCTGTTTATCACATGGTGCTTTGTGAATACCTAGGTATTAGAAGATATAGCTGTTGGAGACTCCTCTAGTCGTGAGTCTGAAGCGGAGTACGAAAATGTTGACTGCGTGAATTCACTAAAGGTATGTGTTATAACCATTGTCGTATGGTTTTGGAAGTAATTAAGTTGAACTGGCGGCTTGGTGGTTAGACCATTTATCTTTTAAGTGATAGGTTACAAGTTCGATTTCTACTACATATTGGCTTGGGCATACGCATAGCATTAGTAGCCTTAATACATAAGCCTGTTCTTATTAAATTCATAATGTTTATTACATAGTTAAGATCATGTTTGTGAAAACTAGTTATTTCGACTAGGTCTTAGGGATTTAAATTTGTTAAATAAGTGTTTGAAAGGCCTGAATAGTACTTTGAAACATCTATAATTACTCTAATATTAAATTACCTGCATCACAAATCATGGTGTCGTTATTAAATATTGATATCTGCCATGATCGTAACTTCACTGAGAATATATTTTGAGTTATACCATCATGAAACACGTTAATCTAAACACCAAATTCAGTAATATCATCTAATTTGAAACAAATAGTTTAAACATGACCTGGTTGGTTGGGGTTATTAATACAAAAACAGCAAATATGTGGCCACACAAGATTATTGTGACGATATAACACGAGTGAGTTCTGTAAACAGGTAGACGGGCATACTCAACGCGGGATCGGTGGCAGATATAGGTCGATCTGTTTTCTCACATATTACATCAACACAATGACAGGAATTTAACTCGGGCAACAAATGAGTAGAAAAATGTAATACCAATGGTAGCGCCAAACTAAACAAAACGTCTTTAAAAGAAAGTAATCAAGCTGAAAACTTTAAAGTCCAGAATGATGTTAGGCTCAAGACTGATAATGTTTCATTCGGGAAATTCATTTCACAAAAACTTTACCTTCTCTCCTGTTTAGAACCCATCATCAGGTATGCATGTTACTGTACTGAAAGAACTTAAAAATGTAATATCTCACCGTCGAGTGATTATGCAGAAGCGTGAAGAATGTGCTTTAAAACGACGATTGCAGATAGAGTGTCCTGATAACAAAAAGCCGAGTGTATCCACTGACAGGGTCAGCCTAAGTTCTGAAAAGGAGCTTCAAGTAAGACTTAAAAATGTTTTTTTTTGATTTTTTTTCTCTATTCTGTTGTAGTATAATTTGTTCAAATTTTTGTGTTTTGAAAACATCTCACATGTAAGTAGTAGTCTTTCTCTTATGCAAGCCAAAGTGGCTTATAGGAGTATGAAGTATTTTCTTAGCCATCGGCATGTTAGTCTGACTTTAAAATGCCGAGTTTACAACGTGTCGATGAAAGCAGTTTTTTTGTCTGCAGAACATGCCCTCATTCAAGATAAGGATGTACGGCTACCCTGTTCGACCATCATTGTCTCTGAAGAATGTTTATTAATTGACTATTTTCAAACTCTAATTATAACATAAAATTTATTTTATAATATGCCAGTGATAGTCTGTTTTAGTGCACTTTATTTTTTAGCTCAATCCAGTGATTGGTATGCCTTGTCCTTTGTGGAACAGTAGGTTATTGATTAATGCGCTTTAATTTCGACTACTAAGTTGCTCCGTCTACTTTGTTTTGAAAAGCAGGTTACTTTAGCTAAACTTCACACAAACTGTGTAAAAAGCAGTCGAGTATATAGAATTAAGTTTGATAAATAAGTTGGATGTTGATGATGATATTAACTTAGTTCTTTCTTTCTAAGAAACTTTTTCCTGTTGGAGCCTCCAATGTCCATTCAGTTTTCAATATTTTAATAGCTACATGTCATAAACGTCATATAAACCTCGTTTGTAATTTATGGTGCTAGTCATCCGTACAGAAGACTTCCAGTCTATAGTCAGTTGTTTAATAGCCTACATTAAATCTACTTTTCCATACTCAGCTTGATATATATTCTTAAAATAAGTAGTATAGATTTTCACTTTTTTCAGAAGTGATTTTTGTTACTTCACTTTACTCTCAAAAGTCCTACTGATCATGTTCTGTCACACTAAAATGTCCATGAATTAGTGACAATGATATTCTAATTACTACTATGGATTAGTAGACTACATCAATGCTTAAGCGTTTCTCACTGACTTTCGAATTTTCACCCGCTTATATTTTAATACGTAAATAAAAAGGTCATTTTCTTAGATCTTATTTATTATCTGATCGCTTTTTCTTTAATGTTTAGACTCAGTTTGTATTATCCAATTCACTTGATACAAATGAAAGCAACTGTGCTTCTATGGATGATAAACTACTAGAATTTTTCCCAACTCCTTTGTGTAATTCATCATGCGAATATTTCAAAAAGTCCCGTACTGGACGTCGAAATTTAAAATGTAATGTTTTAAAAAGAAATTCAATCTTTCTTCAGCTGTCACCTACTAATGTACATGAAAATTATAGAATTTCAAATTGTTCTGACCCAATTGTATTGAAAAATGTTTCACAGTCAAAAAACGCACCAGATAATAAGTTTCTACAATGTTCTGCACTAGCGAATGCTTTAATGAATCAACGTAAATTGTTGGGATTAGCCACAGAGGATTGTTTTACTGGAATTGGTTCAGGTGAAATGTGTGTTGAAATGTCAGAAGAGAATCATACTGGCATTTCATAATAATCAATGAGTTTTTCTTCACAATTATCATTATGTAGTAATAGACATTGTACATTATTCATTTTGTTATTTTTCTGTGTAACTATTCTGACACTTGAGGGTACAGTCGCATTGTATTTTATTAAAACTGAAATATACGTTTAGATACGTGGTGTGAGTACGTAATAGAGGCTATTGAATGTATGTTCGAGGATTCTATGTTCTAATTGGGTAATATAGATTTTTACCCTTTGAATTTCGTACGTATTACCGAACGGAAATCTGATTTGTTTTGAAGTATATTCTTTGCTTCTTGATTACACTTGCAACGTTTATGTCCTAACACGATCAAGTGAAGTAACGGCAGAATAATTCTCCCGAATTTATGATGAAGTTTGTCTTTTGAATACCAAACTAGCTGGAGTCTAGCATATTGATATTAGTTTATTCTTCTGTTGTGATAAGGGTCTTTTGAAGATGTGTCCTGTAGCTCGATTCTATCACTAATTTCGAACTTGACGCCTGACTAACCTGCGATGATAAAGAGAATCAAGACTACGTGTGATCTTCACTTCTAAAAGCTGAATAATTTGCTCAAAATTTATGGGAAAATATAGGTTACATGTGATACGTTTGCAGGATAGCAGCGATTTCTCTAACGGTAACTCCGATACCATATACAATGGTTCTGTTCTCTTTCAGCCCCACCTACTCCGACTAGCAAATCTTAGGCCGAAGAAGGGCGATGTGTATTCACAGTAGTTCAGTTGCACATCGATTGATTTTAATGGTTATTAATCGCGGAACTTAAGGTCTTGGGAGCCATCACTTAAATGCAAAATAGCGTAAGTAATGACTAGAACAATGAAATGACTTGAAACACGATTAATTTTATACGGATTAAATCAATGCAAATGGGATCGCACTAAAAGTTAACGATCAAAACTCACTTTAAATCCATATGTAACTTCAGAAGTTGATTTCTAAAATCAAGTGTTTGTAAATTTACCGTTCCCGACATATTTTTAACCGAGACAGGGATATGTAGGTCGTGAAATTGTATTGATGAATAATTTATCTACTGACAGTAGATTACCCACAGTTTCCTCTCACCACTTGTCCTCGGAACAACATTTGTTTTGTTTGACTGCTCAGGAAATCAACTGAAGCATTTGAATTGATGAATTGTATTCAGGTTGTTCTATAACATAGAAATCCTGATAACAGATTGATTGTTTTTATGTATTCAGGATATAGTACTCAAAAATCAGTGTCAAAAGCTATAACCAAGTGATCAACATATGCAGGGATTAAAGAAATATTTTAGTAAGATCTAAAAAAGAATAAATCATGAGTTCGCATTAGAGTTCTTCCTTTTTCACTTGAGTTGAAAATGGGCAGTACGTATAAAGATCATAGTTGCCTTGTATTGGGAGTTCCATCTAAATATATCAAATAACTTGTCAACATACTCCTTGAGATTTTGCACATCTGGTGCTTATGGATCAATAGATAATCCATTACCACAACTTTCCTAAATTACATGCTTCCATGACTAACAATGTTAACTGATTTAAGGGTTTTAGATTAACGTAAAAGGAGTATAAGCTAACTGAACGATGTCGTTAAACGTATTTTCACGATGTCAGCGGATTGTTCAAATTGACTTCTTTGGATAAATAACAGCTACCGCAACTTCAATACTCGACAAAACACTTGGTTTATTTCCTTCAAAGACAATTTGTATTGTATGTTGAAAATCGATCTTAATAGATATAAGGTATTATGGATATGCAGCCAGCTGATTTTCGTTTGCCTTATACCCTTTTTGAAGAAAGATAAATCAGTGGCCTGTTTAGGATGATGAAATATCAAATCTTTCTAAACTATCATTTAGTTACCTGATTACGGTCGCAATTACATTTTCGAAGTGTTAGTTAGCTTACCATGTTGATTGATTTCAAAACGCGTCATTTTCTTTTCAAACCTTCGTTTCTGTAGGCTTGTAAATCATAAATGAAAAAAACAAACATTGCAGTAGGTTTTTTATGCAGTTTTTGAGGATCATTCATTGTTATTTCGTCTCTAAAGCAACCTATTCGGGTTGATGTTTACTTTACGGAATCTCACACTTCTGTCAGTCATTTTATAGTCGAGTTTGGACAAATTGACGGTAATCAAACAGAAATGGTATTTCTGTCCTGATGGTATGCTATCATTTCCAATTTTTATCTCTAGTTTCGTCAGAGTATAACAGGATGATTTTTCTCGATTCCTTTCTCAGTTCTTACCCAAAATGTACAATACCATATCTGACAGACAACTCTTCACCTTTTAGATCTTTCATTTCTTTGCAACGTCAGCGTTAATTAACACATGCATGGTGAAAAATCTCAGCCAAAACCAAATAGTTATCATTCAGGATGTTTTAGGTTTCATTCATTTTATTTTGTTCAAAAGCTTCCCTATAACTATGTAGCTAAAACTGTGTCTGTTTGACTGTTTATTTACTAAAACTTGTTTCCTAAGCGAAATCCCGAACAAACTAAACTTTTTTGTGAGGTTGCATGTCTTAAGAAGTATACAATGTTGTTAGGTTTTTTCGTCAGAAAATAAGCATAGAGAACCAGAGTACAAAAGTACCCAAAACTGAGTAGGCGAAATATTCCGACTAATATTTGTAACTACTAGCTAGTAGTAAGTTTAATAATTAAAAATATGGAGTTTCTGTTTTGCCTTAATTTATGTGAAAGTCTTGGGGCTTGAAATTAAGATAACTCCGGTGTTTCGCTTAGCAGCCTTGTCTAAGTTTCATTACGGAGACGTCAGACCTGTTTTTACTTCAAGCGATAACGTTTTTAAGTCTTATTTTCTTAGTGTCTTCCTAAACTCGGCTCCAGACTATTGTGTTTCTACTCTACTGCTTTATTGCTTTGATACGAAATGGGGAAGGTGAAACACAACTTGGAAATCGTTCAAGAAAGACTTGGCTGTTTCCATATAACATAATAATGCTTATTTTGGGCATGGACTTCTGTGACGTAATATGCTTATAAAATTGGTTTAAGATATAAAAATCAACCATTCATAATGTTATATTATCAGATTTTTTACTTCAGTGTTTGCTTACAGATCTCAGAAGGACATATTAATGAACTCAATGCTTACCTAGTTTGCCTCTTGACTAATGGATTAGTCAGACATCCTACTAACTTTTATCTGTGAATTACTTTTCTTGCATAAAACTTTAATTATTCTAAGTGAATGTAAACCATTTTAAGCAGTATAATTGCATCCACTTTTTATCTGGAAACGGATATTTTATACTCAGTGATGGAGATTTGTTATTTGTAAGAAAATTATTTTCTGAAAAAGAAACGTGCATAGATCAACTTTGAAATTTTACGAGACAAAAATTTACTTAAGTTGGTTATCTCAGTAGCTTATTCTCTTTGTTTACTAATTCCATATGCATTTGTCAATGATTCAAATTTCCAGTGATGTAGTGCCTTGGTATTCCAGTTATAGGATGTTCAACAAATCCTTCTATTACAGTAATCACTTTTAACTATGAAGTTGAATAATGTTTTAACTTGATCTCTTATTACAAATATGATTTTCTCCTGTGGACATGTACTGGTGATTATTAAGTTTGATACAGTTTAGAAAGTTTATGAATATGTTATCCTATTTCTTGGACCTTAAAACGTCAAATTTAGATAAATAATTAAACTTGGGATGGTAAGATGAACAGATTATATGCATAAGCTATTTGTGTAACTACTCTTTAAATATGCATATTACAGATTTATTCTGTACAACCAAATTTGTCGAAAACATTGAATTAATTGAATAGCGAATTTACTAAAGAAACATTAACCAAATGGTTTGTTTTGATAATTTTCAAATATGAATTTAAACTAAAACATTGATCACTTATTAGATGCAAATAATGGATGAGATCAGCTTTCAGTATCTAATATTCATAACTAATTAAAGATTCTGTTATACCTTGAAGCAGTAAACAAAGATCTCGATATGGAAAGCGACTTTGTTAACATTAACACAGTCATATGAGAAATGTTCATAACTGAATTCTGATGTTATAACTTATTTTAATTATGTATAACTTATTACGTCCGTAATCATATTTGGAATGAGTGGTAAGGAATAGTATGTAAAAAAACAAACTATTTTTGAATAATTAATCTAGTTTAGATCTTAACAGAAATGTTATATTCCTTAACAAATAGACTAGAATCGATCAATTTTAACGAGGTATAAACTTGTTATAGGTTAACTGCATTCAAAGATTATACTTATTCTACAATGTTGGTAAATAATTTTATTCATCAGAATATGAGAACTGAAATTCAATAATTATATACATACATTAAGCCATATTATTGAATTTCTTATCCTGCTTCGGTTTGGACACCCGAGAAGTATCACAGCCCTCATGGATATTAAATGAGATCTATGTGGCGCATATGTATTTGGTGCCTCCGTGTACCAATATCTATGTGTTAAAATAAATAAATAAATAACCTTGCGATACCTTACAGTTATCATTTTTCTATGTTTAACTATATTTCTATACAATTGCTATTAGAAATCATAGTTGCATTGATATATCATTTGATAAAATCTGATTATTTATTATTTAGTTCTACTCAATTTCATTACAGTTTCAGTAATATAAACTAAACCATCTTAGAAAACAGATTACAAATAACTTCTTGATACTTATAAATAACCTTTTTTCAAATATCATAAAAATGTAACGAAACTTTATAACTATTTAAAGCTAGACCATCGTGGAAAACCTGGAAGCATTAAACGACTGTTTTGTCCTAATATGGGACTCCTTAGCGGTGTTTATCCACAATCCCACGCGTGGGACTCGAATCTAGCACCTTCGGCCTTGCGCGCGAGTGCTGAGGAGTCCTATATTAGGACGAAACGGTCGTCCAATGCATTCAGGTTTTCCATGATGGTCTAACTTCAGCTGATTCATGAACTCAACTATTAAATTACTATAATCTCCACAAAACCCCTTTCTGATAAATTGTAAATTAAACATCGTAATTACACAG